CGCTTCGGGCCAACTATAACAAAGAAAGGGAAACAAGGAAAATGGAAAATACAATGAAATTTGGGATATTAAGTAAAAACTTACAATTCTAAGGTTGGTCTGAACCAAACTTAAAAAAATTAGCAAAAAATGAAAAATTGGAAGCAACTTAAGTAAAAAATAGCTCTTAAGTTGAAACTAAGCAAAAATCGAAGTAAAAACTTAATTCAAAAATTTTGCTTGAAAATTTGCTAACTTTGTTACTTAAGTTGGTTTTCGGAACGGATTTTAGCAAAAAAGGGAAAACTAAGCAATATTTACTACTAAGTTTCATTTCGGAAAGGACCCCCTGGTCTTTAGCTGAGCATTAGAATGATTCATCCTGCATATTACCAAGTTGCCAATAATTATGATGCATAATTTAATTATTCGCGGTAAATTATTCTTCATTATTCATCCTTTCAGATTCTTCAAATTTGTCGTGTCTTTTTAAACTCTGTTTCTCTCTGCAGACCAAGATTAGAATTTAAAGGACTTGACGGAACTACACTCAACATGCTCCGAACTGCAGCCCTTAATGCTAACAACAACGCTTCCTCCAGTGACGATGACGTAAGTGCTCTATATTATTGATCCCTGTTTAGTGTTTATAGCTGTATACCTTACATCTGGGGGGGGGGGGGGGGGGGGGGGGGGGAGAGAGAGATTCCTGTGATTTATGACGATAATTGTTGTTTTTGTATCTCTGTGGATCACACTTTGACTTAGAGACACCAAATTGTAAGAATCATTCGAAAATAAAATAGAGAATAAAATCTTTATTGGATCTATTCGATATCAATCATCGATCGTTTAAAGCGACCGGAAAGAATTCAATATTGAAGAAAGATTCGAAATCAACTACTATACTTTTAGTTTTAAACTTTAAAATTTACACGATAAATAGATAATGGAGATTTACGATCATATGCTATTTCAATGAAACATCCTAATTTGATGAGGATGACCTGTCTTCTGTTATAAAGTTATAACAACTAATCTGTTCTCATGAGAATATTATGCAGTAACTAATCGTTAAGTCTAGTCTTTCTTGAGACGATGCATTTAGCTATTTCATTGCAACATTTCTCACGTTTATTAACGATGACGGTATGTGCTTTAAGTCAATGCATATCAAGTACTAAGTTTAAATGAGTCAAACGTTACCTGGGTATAAATTTACAAAAATGATCTGTCCTGGAAACAAAAAATCATGGCTAATTTTAACCGTGCAGAATTTTAACTGTGCATTGTTCGAACCGTGTTATTGAGTGTTGATGATAACCGATAATACGCGGCTTTACATTGTTCACTCTTTAAACATATTGTTACCACTTATAAAAAGACAGTGTATATTAGTACTTACCGTGTGTCTTTAACTCTTTAAGTCTACCGCTGCTCCGCCTACAGCTGCATTTCAAGTTCACTTTCCTTGCGTTTGATATTTGCTAGTGTTTCATAGTCTGGTCAATGCATCAGAAGGTGCGATCATGCACCAATTAGAGGGTAGGATGACATTCCAAATAAAAGAATGCTCTTCTACCCTCCGCTGCACGGTATGCACTTGGAGATTTATAGAAGAAGATGCTGGCCCACAGGGAGGAACCTTTTCTACAGTTCACAACTAAAACATCTATAGTTGTTGATTGTTCCTGATATTCATTCCTCGGGCATTCTTCGCTCTTACTTTAGACCCTATACCATGGCAGCAGCCTCCTCGTCAGCTTGGATCAGCTTTAATCTGTCCAGCGTCCGGGCACAGCTAGGTTCCCGGCCTTCCGACGTGGATTATCCCTGCTCAATATATTGTAAATCCTGGTTTCTTTATTTATAAGATTGATATAAATGTGGGATACATCAGGCCCAGAATTCGGATACGATGTGATGTAGTCGAACGTCTGAACAAACTGATACTCTACCGTTTCCTGTTACCTTAAGAACGACAAATTTACCATAAATTTAGTCAAACTTTTGACTTAAATTGTTGTAAACCAAATTTCATGTGACTAAATTTTTCGGCGACTAATTTTGAAGTAGACCAGAATTTTAGTAGAGCATATTATATGAATTTAATTTGATTGAGCTTACATTCTTTATCCTTTTATCATATGTTTATGATAAACAGTTAAATATCGCTAACTGTACAATGTACACTAACACAGGTCCCTACTGCACGTGTGAAAATAAGAAATTTTATGTTCTGATATGTTACTAATGTATGTATTGTTGGCTCGCCGTTTAGTTGGAACGTTCCCAGATCGAGAATATTCCTCCTTGCCAAAATACGCGCTTATGGTGTAAGTAACAGGATCACGAGGTTGATAATTTGTCCACGTGACCGTTTGGCGCGCAGTGTGCACGTGGGCCCATGGGAAATTTCTGATACATGTGTTCCGTTATCTATACTTAGTTCACTCCCCGTCTTTTGTTACTTTCTACGTTTCTTTCTACGTTTCTATATAGATTTGTACCTTGAGTTTTGCAGTGTCGTTACAATTTCCGATTTCATCATGAACTTCGACATACGTTCTGCGAAATTGAAGAAAAAAAAACTAGCTTAGTAATGGAAAAATCAAATAAATGGAATAGAAAATGGTCTCGAAAAGTCAAAAAATGCGACTAAAATTGTTGCAGACTAAAAATTTGCGAAATTTGTGCCCAAAATTATGGTAACCAAAATTATAGTCACCAAATTTATTGTGACCAAAATTTGTTGGCCCTAAGGTACTACACGTACTGACTGTAAAGCGACTCAGTGCTAAAGTTTGAAAACTAATAAATCCCTCCCACGGTCACAATAGAAAATAAAATTACTCAGCTTAATCATTAAACAAATTAACAAACAGACAAATTTGGTTCCATACCTCATGTGCAGGTATCATTCACGAAAACACAAATGACAGATTTAGTTATATAATCATAAGTTATATATAATCAATCTTGGCTGAAATATTCTCAGAGGTAGGACTCTTTAATATCTTTAATTCGAGACGCAAAATTAAAGATATTAGTTTGATGTTGTCGAAATAGGCTTATAAGGGTTCAAAACGGAGTTATACAATTACAATTTATTAAGTCAATGTTTTCTTAGATTTTGCCCATATTTTAGTTTTATAACAAATACAAAGAAACTGATCTAACCGGTACTGTCTTGAAGTAATATTCTCAGAGCTCTGACACTATTTCAGAAGTACCTGCAGGTAGGCCGATTGGATTTCATGATTTTAAAGCTATAAATGCGTGTCGTTGTGGAGTATTGAAGACAATATGAAACTATATGTGTGAATTGGCTGTTAGGACTTCATTATAATCGCAGTTTGGTTTTATCTTTGATTATAAGGTTTCCGATTTCTGTACAATCTGACACCATAACGCTCTGAAAATCACCCAATATTATGGCACATAAGTAAGTAGGCACACCTTTAATAAATTAGTCCTGCAACCAAATCCACACATCACCCTGCACCCTGCACCCTTTGAACGCACCTGTGACTTGCAAGGTGACTCTCAAATCCAATTCCCCTTACATTTCAAATCCAATTCCCCCTACATTTTAGATCCACCCAACATGATATCACCCAACATTCCTAAAAACCTCGCACTATATTCTCGTACTTTTTACATCATCCCTCAATAACAGGTACTAGCTGCGTCATGTTATACTATTTATAGTGCTTCTCCAGACGACCTGCCCGTCTGTCTGCTAGATATAAACTAGATTAGACTACCCGCACTCTCCAGGTTTCTGGGTTATTCCACAATTTAGTTTTTACCACTCCTAGTTTGTAGGTTCAGTACCTGATATATTTCACCTAATGATCTCTCCGACTCTCCTGATGCAATGAGGAGTGACTCGTATATACTTGATGAAGGCGCAGAATAATTGATAAAGGCGCAGTATATTTGATGAAGGAGCAGTATATTTCATTATTATCAGGTTATCATGTATGCTAGATGCAATGATGCATGTAGATATAAGATCACCTAACGGACTTATGGGCCATGGCCCATGGCACAGAGGGGAGGGGTCCTAATAAAACATATTTGAAATTAGGAGTAATTTCAGCTCGACATATTGGGACTATTCTTCTTTACTCACCTGCTAGTGTCAGATTACTAGTGGGTGGGTAACGTTGCAGAATTGTGGAAACTTTGTTGTTGTGCACGTGTCCGCTGTATACTTCAGAAGTGTACTAGGTATCTGTCATTTCTTATCAGTATATCGACAGGTTAATGTTGGTCGTATCTTATCACTCATTATCAGTTGATACAGATATAGGTTGGCAGGCGCCTTGGCCTTGTCATTGGTAATTTGTTCATTTTTGCAAGTAATTCGTTCTTTTTTTGGAAGGGTACACCTGTTTCCACAGAGATTTGTTTTTTATCTCGATTATTTTGTTGTATCTGATTAAATTACTTGGATTTACCTCTTGCAGAGTTACTCTTGTGATTCAATAACCGATATATGATTTGCTCACTTATTTCTATCGAAGAAAGTGGAAGCCAAAGTTCACTTTCTTAAAACAGCGAATTTTAATCATTCAGAATTAGAATGGTCCAGGTTATTCCTATTTTATCTGAAGTTAGTCTGAGTTCAAAATTTTTAAACATGAATGAGGAATTTCTGCCTAAACGATGTACATATAATGTACTTATTACTTTATTAGTGAATAACGTTATCTGTGACTCACCCAATTAAAATATACAAGATCTGACTGGAATATGATAAGACCACTACTTAAAACCAATTATTATATCAATAAAGTCCAGTTCCCCTCATTATAGCATTATCTGAACCCAGTTTCCTTATCTTGTTTTACAATTTACACCCCTCTAAACGCTAAATTGATAAACGGTCAACACGAGCTTCAATTTTGGACTCCGGCTCCTCAATCTCCTCATCTTCAAATTGCTGGACCGTAATTTTCTAATTAGATTTATTGCAGATGTCGGCCGGCTGACTTTATCCTCGTTCAAATTGCCAAATAATTTGCCACCAATCCCATCAGAAAAACTCAAATAGATCATAGAACCCCACTATCAGTCGTTGTTTACAGCTATTCGATTAATTGTGACGAAATTGTTTACGAAGAAGCTGACAAATGAGTTCCACCTGTTGAAATCCCGTTACGTCTGTGACGTTTAGTTAAGTGACATTTGTCTTGGAGCGTTACGTCAGCGCTCTTTTCAAAGTGGCCCCCACGGTCCCTTATTAAGTTAATCAAGTTATTCGTGTTAGTCCACCTTGATAAGAACTAATTTGCAGACCGACTTCAAACCTAATAACTTCATGTTTTGTTATTCCTGAATACCTGGTCATGTGAAAAGGATTAGAACCTTTTACAATGTTTTTATTCGGGTATTATTTCGTTTTAAATGTTTTCACTCTGGCTTCTGATGTGTGCTTAAAATTTGACAATAGATTGTCGGAGATCGGGTCCTGGCACCACATGTACCGCTCTTGAACGAAGTTGTTGGAAACGCATTAACAAAAGTGGTGTCCAAGCCCCTGTCGTTTTCCGATAATTCCCTGAATTGTAATTTGAACAAAGATATTTGCACTTCCCTAGCTGAAACAATGATTGAGAAATTACTCCAATTTTAGGTCATTATGGGTTCCTCATTTTGTGGATTAGCTGAGAAAGTCTGGCTTTTAGTCCCGGCGGAGCACCTCACCTTTGGTTTCCTGTGAATCATTATATTTGATGGTTTGAAGATTGTTGTAACTTTCGCCAACTTTTCCACTTGTTTGAAATATTATCTACTTTAATATTGTCCTTTATAATTAAACGACCCTTTGGTTTCCTGTGAACAATTTGTTGTTATTTTAAGGTTTGATTATTGAGCTGTAACTTTCTAGAATTTTCGAATTAGCCACTCGCTCACTCGCCGATCGTCAAAATTCATTCAGGCGATGCTTTTATCCAAAATGGAATTTTTAAAACTTTCAGGCCGTATCCATGACGTCGGGCGCTTGTTCTAGAATGCCAAATTTGGAACATGAGCTTGATAGAATCTTCAACATACTCGAGAGCGTGATCGTTACATTTGGAAGCATAATTTCCTTTGGTTTCCCGTAAATTATATTTTGTTATTTGAATTTGAACATTTGACGATTGTTAAAACTTCCTAGGATAACGAATTTCACATTGTGTGGTTGTGAGGATTCGAATCAGCTACTATAGCTGATTATAGTAAGTTATAGTAGCTGTAGTAGTTATAGCTGATTATAGTAAGTTTCCATTGCATTGTCATATGCGTCAAGCCGTCTGTGACACCTGGTGCTTAATCTAGGATGCCAAATCTCGATCTGCAACGTACTAGCTAAATCTTGAGTCTGCGGCATACTCTAGCGTGATCATTAATCGAGGAGCATGATCATGTCCGTATTGCACTCTCTTGGGACCAAATATTCAGGGATAAACATGACAAATGCTGTAGGAAGCCCCCATCCAATTAAGTGGTACTTGTCGCGGTTATAACTCTACTGTCTACAAGTTTTCATGAGTAATAGTATGATCATATAAAACGTGATGATCAGGATATGCAGCTAATTCCGGAGAAATCCCGCCGCTGGTAGTTTGTTTGAAGTCCCGACATCAACTATTTGACATTTCAGTGGCTTTACACTTCAGTGATTATCCATACTTCCCAACGTTCACGCTTCACTCCCAGTTTTGCCGCTTAGAATTTGTTTACTTGTTAAGGGTAACAACTTCGCAAGATCATGCATGAAGATTGCAGATTAGCATCTCTTTTCCATTTTCACCTATGACCTTAGCCTGTGAGTAGCAAAATGCAATTGGATGAAAGTCAAGAGCTGTATAATTTCCTGTTGATGTGAAAATTCATGTCAACTTGTGTGGAACGTTCTCAAGCAAGACTTGAGTGACATATTTTAATGACAGCACAAATGAGAGTTAAATAGCCAGGTTTAAATTGTTGTAATTACATAAGCTGTCAGCTTGTGAATTTTTAGTTTAATTTGCAAAATAGTTTGTTGCGCTGTGGGAATTTTAATTCATAATAATTTTAACTGCTACTTCATGTTGATGCCTTATTTTTTCACATTGCTTTGTTGGTAAAAACTCTGTTTATCATGAGACATCCAAGTTATCGCCAATGGTGCCATTTGATGTTATTAATCGATTAGCACAAACCGGTAGCAACGCTATCAATATCATCAAAATACCTTGAAAGCGGATGCAGCGTCAATGGATCCACTGAACCATCAGATTCATTGCCAACAAGCTTTGTTGGCACCATTCTCTGGTATTATAAATGAATTCACTTAAAATCAGTGGTGCCAAATGGGTTATTCAAATGAATATGATGGATTCACTAGTACAAATCAGATCACATTATGTGCGCTATCCAGGAATCCAGGAATCCAGGATATAATTGCTACTACGTATCACATTCAAATGTTTGATGGGTCTATAAAATGACTTTAAAATGATTTTCAATCGGCATCAATGGATATTGCCGATAAACATTTCAATATTTCTCTGGAAGCGCAGACTTATCTGGAAACTTCTGACGTTTAAAATTTTCCTTCACTTTTTGATTGTGTCAAAGTCTGACAAGTGTCTCCTATAACATGTGTCGTGTAGTTATACATTCTAACCCATGCTCTTGTTAATACCTCTTTCTCATTGGACGGCTCGTCTATCCGCGGTCTTCCATTGGTCAAAAACCTGTCATTTTTAAAAGGTTACAACAGTTTATCCAATGTACATATATTCAATCTGGTGATGTATAAATAGAAGCTCTGGTTGTGATACCGTACTTAAGAATCACTCCAACCGTACCTTATAACTAGTACACCCGTATACGCTCACACCACTCTACTTCCCCGCCCTTACAACTAGTAAACTATATGTCAAGATCTCTCTTCAGTTTACATTTTCCTTACTCAGATGCCTTTTATTTGGGAGGATCACACTGCTCCTACGTAATATCAGTTGTTGTAAGAAAATAACGCGTGTTATGCAAGTGTAAGGTGCGCGGCATTCCCGTTTACCTTACAACACCACAACAGTATCCCCGCCCTGCCAATCTTTACATTCTCCTTCCCCTCATATCAGAGACCGTGAGTTAATGTCAGGTGCTCCGCAACCTCCCTCTCTGTCAGCTGGTCTGTCTACTGACGTGAGCTTTCATGACTTGAATATTTTCTAATTTTACCTTTTTCGTGTCGTGATTGTTCGGAGTTTTACCAGGCATTTCATTAAAAGAGGATGTTATCTAATAGTGATTTTATTCCTGACTCCAGTTTTTCTAGGTTTTTCCTGAGCTTGGTTGTGAATTTTTAGAGCTTCATTTTTAACCGTATATATAATATAAATAAGTAAGTAAGTAAGCTAAATAATTCAACTCGTTGACCATGGGATATGGTGTTGACTGATAATGATATTAGTTCTGTGACATGTGTGCCAAAATTTTTGTGCCTATTTCCGCATTTCACGCTTTACTCTTGACTGGCCAAGAATTTAACAGCTTGAATATATCGACACTTATAATATTTTTTAGTTCACCATTGGGCCTCAGCTGTTGAAGCAGCACGCTAATATTTCAAAAATTTCGTAAATCTGTCAAATATTTGGTAAATATCGTCGAGCTAGAATGGCTTTTGTCAAAACAAGAGGCTGTGAAGCACGATCAGCCAAAAATCAGACAGCAAATAATTTTTGAGATTCCATCGTCCGGGCTGTAATGTGTCATGGTACGTGGGCCACGGGGGATTCTTCCGAGCCGTAAATCTAGCCGGGAGTGGGTTCAAGAATTTGGCATATACCAGGCTTTATAAGATAATAGTCGGCAAATATTAACTAACTCTCCTGTAAGTATGATGCCGTCGTGTAGAGATGACTTATTAAAATAAGTCTGTAAGTAGCATTAAATGTTCCCTTCGAAAAGTATCTATCTAGAATTTTATGTGTCCCCCTCGAGATCTTTGTTTGACGTTAGTGAAGTAGTTTGCTATCTATACTGTGACATGGTCTAGTTTCTTGGTCTATCTTAACGTGTTATCTCGTGATAATTTTATAATTTCAGTATATAGTCGTTATCATCGTTTCTTCGCTTTCTGCTAAGTTGTTAATCGCTCCGTATGCCGTGAGGTGAGAAGAAGGATCTCAATATTCAGGAACAAGTTTACGTTGATTCAGGGTGTTGACAATCGAGAAGTTTGCACTGCACGTAACTTAATAACGTCCGTTTCATTACCACTTTTCCTGTTGCCCTTATCTGACGATAAATTAGAAAAAGGGTTAGATGTTTTCATGATTTTGATGAGAAACCAACTTCTGTAATTTTCCAATTTCTGTAATCTTCGACAGTTTTAAAGTATGGCAGCTCAGGAGGTTCGGGAATTTCCAGAATGAACTTTTCAAAATTTGTATTTGCTGTTATATAAAAGACAAGGTAAGATTTGATAAGACCAGAACTTTAGCAGCTTAATTTGTCTTCGTGTATAAATTGGATTGCTCCCCATTTCCGGAAAGTCCCATCGTGTTTCTATGAACCATTGTGACAAAGACTCTCCCTTCTAAAATATCTGATTGTTTACTTTTTCTTACTTATCCGATTAACCCTGTAGGTCCATATTTCCTATTCAAAATACAGAATGTTTCATTTGTCCCGTTTGTATTGTGTCAGTACCGCTTTGGTTTGTTATGTGTAGAAGCCTTGCTTTGTTTCAAACATATTACTATATTTTTAACACTTTAACACAAGTAGCATCCCAAAGAATTGTTGCACTGGAACGTCATTTTATTTATAGATGATAACCTTGTTTTAGCAATATTTTGTATGTCTCCGGATTTAATGAATAACTTTTGTTTCTCTGTTATGTTTCCAAGCCTCAAAATGCCAAAATGGTCACGTGGAATATTTTAAAAGCTTATCGGAGCAATTCAAATTTCGAAATTATCTCAGGGTTTATTGTTAAAAACGGATTCCAAAAGCGATTCTTGGTTTTAAAATTATACT